TGCTATTTATGTCTGTGATCAAAGTTGAATTTTCAGCATCATTACTCCAGTCTTCAGTGTCACATGATCTTCAGAAATCATTCTAATATGCTGATTTGCTGCTCAAGAAACATTTCTGATTATTATCAATGTTGAAAACATTTGTGCTGCTTCATATTCTGGTAGAAATCGTGATACACTTTATTTTTCAGAATTCTCTGATGAATAGAAAGTTTAAAAGAATAGCATTTATTTGAAATAGAAATATTTTGTAACATTATAAATGCCTTTACTGTCACTTTTGATCAATTTAATGCATCCTTGATGATTTAAAAAAAAAATCCTACTTGCCCTAGACTTTTGAAATATGAAGTAGCACAACTGTTTTCAACATTGATAATAATCAGAAATGTTTCTTGAGCAGCAAATCAGCATATTAGAATGATTCTGAAGGATCATGTGACACCGAAGACTGAAGTAATGATGCTGAAAATATATGTGCATTTCTGTTTTACTGTATTTTTGATAAAATAAATGCAGCCTTGGTTGAACATAAGAGTCTTCTTTCAAAAAAAATATCAATGATTCCAGACTTTTGAGCGTCTCTGTGTCTCTTCCTGTACTTAACTAACAGTTGGATGTGTGTCTTTCTCTTCATTTGTCGTCCTGCTCTCCTGATCGCGATACCGTACAGGTTTCTCTCAGCTCTGCAGCCCGCGGCGGGCGCTCTCAGAGCAAGGCCCTCTCCGTCTCATCAAGAGCGCCTCTTTCTTTTCAGGTTGGCGTGTGCGTGTGCGTGTGTGTGCACGAGTATGTGCATGTGGCACTAGTGTTTTATGCATGTTCATCTAAGGAGTTTGCTTGTGCTTTATGTGACAGCATTTAGGACGTGTAAATGGTCGATCTGTTCTGGTGTGATCTCTCTAGCTTTGACAAGCCCAGGGTTTCTTTCTACCCCATCCCCCATAATTCACCGGTTTGCCCTCTCCTGCCTGCTGTGTGTGCATGTGTCTGTGCTGATGTGTAGGTAGATCACAGTGTTGATAAGATGGCTGGACGGGTGGTGGGTAGAGATAAGCAAACTCTTGTAAATCGTCCCTGCTTGACTTTCTCTGCATCCTCTCAGGACACAGTAACCCCATGGACATGCCAGGCCGAGGACTGTATGATGAGAGAGACAGCGGCATCGCCCGCTCTGGTGAGTCTGTTTACACATGCAGATGCCATATGGGACACATTTACATTCAAACACACAATTACTGCACGCGATAGGTTTATTTCTAGGCTACAAATAAGAACATTTTATATTTTTAGGGCTCTTTGAAATCTGTTTTCTCCATTTTAATTTTTTTGCATTCAATTTTAATAGTTGAATAAAATTTTAATAATGGAATTCATAAAGCTTTAGCAATGTATTAAAATTTTAACTAATAGTGCACTATGAAATGTTTTATCTTTTCAGAAATTCTGTTTTAATTTTTCTGGATTTTGTGTTTTATGATTTAATAGTTTTATTGTCAAAAACGGTGGTAATTATTTTAATGCATAAAACTTGGAACAGTTTTATTAATCTCTTAAATGTAATCAAATGTAAATTTAACAATTCCTTTTTTTGCAAACAGTGCTGCACAACAGAGGTTTACAGTTTAAATTAAAACGGACAAAGAAATGTGTGATATTACATAGTTTTAATGTTTTACTTCGAGAAGTACATCTTACTGTACAATAATAATATAATTTGTCATGTAAAATATATAGTGTGTCATAATTTTTTTAAGTTAAACAAAACTTTTATTTTGGCGGGTTTTAGTGAAGATCTTGGTAACACTTTAGTTTAGGGACCAATTCTCACTATTAACTAGTTGCTTATTAGCATGCATATTTCTAGCACATTGGCTGTTTATTAGTAATTATAAAGCACATATTAATGTCTTATTCTGCATGAGCATATTTTAGATCCCTTAATCCACCCCATACCTAAACTTAACAACCACCTCACTAACCGTAAATAAAATTAGGACTCCTAGGAGTTTAGTGAGGCAAAAGTCATAGTTAATAGCTAATGTTAATGGTGAGAATTGGACCTTAAAATAAGTGAGTAAGTGTGTTTCTGATAATAATTTTTCTCAAATGAATTGGTGAAAAGCTGGTGAAGTGACTCTCAGAGCAGCTCTAGAGAGGAAGTTCATGTCCTCATATAGTGAGACTAGCATCATGTGAGCTTCAGTATGTGTGTAGTAGAGCAAACTGAGACACGCACAACATGTAGACTTCACATTTACATAGCAGGCTTTCTGAGCTTTGGATAGTTCACCCAAAAATGAATTTATTCATCCTCAAGTTATTCCAAACCTGTATGAGGTTCTTTCTTCTGTTTAATATGAAAGAAGATATTTTGAAGACTGTTGGTAACTAAACAGTTGCTGGTAGCCATTGACTTCCATAGTATGTAATAGTACCATGGTTTGGAACAACATGAGGATGAGCAAATAACAAAATTAAAATTTTTGGGTGAACTATTGCTTTCATATTCACAGACATGAGACAATTTCGGCATTGATTAAGTGTGCGGCCCTACTTTTGATTTACTCATCCAAATTCTTTGACATTCCACATTATACAGTAGATTTAATTTTTATTACTGGATTCTATGAATCGGTCTGCTTTAGTCGTGAGTGATGTGGAAATATCTGGTGTTAATGTGAAGGGTTTTTCTGAATGGCATGCTCATGATCTTGGTGTCAAGATGTTTTCTTATTGAACACTATTAAAGGTTTAAAACTATGAAAGGATTGGCACCTGACTTAGAAATCCACCCCAGAAATATCTTTAAATTAGTCTGTGATTACAAACAACTTCATATGTAGCCGTCATTCTTTCTGTTATGTCCTTATTATAAATGATACTTAAGTCAGGACGTCCTGAAGCTCACAGCACAGGAATATCTGCCCTGTGCCACTGAGATGTGCAGCTTTCTGAAAATGAAGCAGACCTGGAAAAGCTTGTGCAATGGAAAGTGCCTGATGGCCTGGGCAGCATAGCTGGGATCTCTTGTTCTGGCTAATGCAGCATCACATGCACAGACGTTTATATTTAGCGGTTCCCAAAGTTGCCTGCCTGCACTAGTATATGAGGAGGCTAATTCAGGGTCGACACACACGTTTCATCTCCATTGAGCTCTTTAAGCGTGTCACCTCGTTCTGAACATCACTCTCTCGAGGCCTCTCGGGTGACCCTGAAAACCTAAATGCTATCAGTGCTCAGTTCACATGTGATGGGGTGTTTCTTAAAACAAAAGTTCACCCAAAAATGAAAACTTCCTGAAATGTCCTCACCCTCAGGCCATCCAAGATGTAGATGAGTTTGTTTCTTCATCAGTTTTGGAGAAATGTAGCATTGCATCAGTTGCTCCCCAATGGATCCTCTGCAGTGAATGGGTACCGTCAGAATGAGAGTCCAAACAGCTGATAAAAACCTCACAATAATCCACACCACTCCAGTCCATCAGTTAACATCTTGTGAAGCCAAAAGCTGCGTGTTTGTAAGAAACAAACCATTAAGACATTTTGACTTTAAACCCTTGTTTTCTGGCTGAAATACGAGTCCATAATGCATAATAATGTTTCTGCTAATGAAAAAGTCATCTTGTCTGAATCAGGAGAGAAATATGCACAGATCAAGCACCGCTTACAAGTCAAAATAGTCCAAAACAATTCTATATAAATTTATGGGTGGATTTTGATGTGAGAGGACAACAGGGGATGCACTTTTTCACCAGAGGAAGTGCTCTGATTCTGACGGCACCCATTCACTGCAGAGGATCCATTGGTGAGCAAATGATGCAATGCTACATTTCTCCAAATCTGATGAAGAAACAAACTGAAGCAAATTTCCATTTTTGGGTGAACTATTCTTTTTAAAGCAGCAGTAGCAAAAAAAATAAATAAACAGAGCGTACTTTATTTTTGCCATGTGTGAGTGTTTTGCTCTTGCATGATGGACATGTGAACACACTGACTCACTGCTCCTCTCTTCTGTTGACAGCGTCTTTAAGCAGCCTGTTGATCACCCCGTTTCCATCGCCGGGCTCCTCTCTCACCAGCAGCTGTGCTAGTAGCTACCAGCGGCGCTGGTTACGCAGCCAGACCACCAGCTTGGAGAACGGCGTCTTCCCTCGATGGTGCGATTGCAACACACTGGTGCACACGCTGCATTTACAGTTAGAGTTGGGCGATAGGGCCGAAAGTTTTAATGACGATATAGGAGAAATTTGACTTCACATTAACAATAATATGTCACAGTAGTTATATTTGCCTGAAATAAGGTTGTTACCACTGCAAAATATTAAATACAATTGGAATTTCATGATTCATTACACCAATTTTGATATCACGGCAAAAAAAAAAAGAGAGAAAAAAAAAATAAATATATACACACATTTACATTTAGTCATTTAGCAGATGCTTTTATCCAAAGCGACTTACAAATGAGGACAATGGAAGCAATCAAAATCAACAAGAGAGCAATGATATGCAAGTGTTATAACAAGTCTCAGTTAGTTTAACACCGTACACATAGCAAAGGTTTTTTCTTGTTGTTTTTTTATTTATTTTATAAATAAAAAGAAAACAGATAGAATAGAAAAAGAAATGCTTTAGGTTTTTTCAGATCTATCAGAAATAAGAAATACTATAGAAATGAAAAAAATGTCAAAATAAAACACTGCATAGTTCTCACTGTATAAATGAAATGTACAGTTTTACAAGAGATTCACTCAAGAGCAGTGAGTGATTTTTCTCTGTCTTTCATTGTTTGATTACCATTAATGACACAAACTGATCTCCGACCTGTTTACATTCACTTAACTGACATAACTGACTGTGATGAGCAATCTGACATTTTTGTGTTTTTTGCCATTTAAGTGTGATCACCAGCAAAAAAATGTCAGATTTCAAAAAGATTTCAGTACTCAGATGTTGTGTTAGCGGCTGCTTTCTGTGCGCTCTCAGACAGAGAGTACAGAGTAGCTCTCTTTCATGTCTCATTGCATTAAAATAGTTTGAAATCGCTTGAATGTTTAAATTGGTATGGCTTATAAATGTACGCTATCATGTCTAGTGAGCGTAACCGCAATAGAAACGAGAATTTCATGGCACATTTCTACTGTTTTACTGTTCCTACAGTATATCACCCACTTCTACTTACAGCAGGTTTCACTTTCATCATAACGCATGCAAACGTGAGAGAGAAATTCAGAAATGACAAGCAGTAGTGAGGACTCATTAGTGCTGTTAAACTTCAGTGTGGGACTCTTCACTTGCAACTACACAGCAACACCCCAGCATTGGGCTCTGCTTACATTTCCCTGTCTAATCCAGTGGTGTGTTTGCATTCCAGGTCTGTGGAGGAGAGCTTCAACATGTCTGATGAGAACAGTGGGCCGAGTCTGGGCGTTGCCAGGAAGAAGAAGATCGCTATCGGTGTCATCTTCCTGCTCTCGCCCAACGAGGAAGAAAACGCCAAGTTCCAGGACTTTTTCTTCTCTCACTTTCCACTGTTTGAGAGTCACATGAACAAACTCAAAAGTGCCATTGAGCAGGTTAGACATGATTTGCGTCTTTGTGGTTTGCCGTCTTCTTGCGCCATCTGTTGCGTCTGTCTTACGGTGTGTGTGTGTTTGTGGCTCTCTGTTTGTTTGAAGGCTATGATACTGAGCCGCAGGTCAGCTGATGCCAGCCAGAGAGCTTTGGCTTACAGTCGCATGGTGGATGGCCTCAATGAGTTTAGGTGAGTTTGTGGTGACATGTCTGGACGCTGCTCGCCAGGTGTTTTGTTATTTGCATCCACCAAAAGTCCTGCCAAGGTTTACTGGACACTTAAACCACTCATGTGACATGAGATGCACGACGCTGATCTGAGAGCGCTTTCACATGCGATAACTTTGTGTTCAAGCAGTTTCTTAGCAGTGCTATATTATATAATCTTCGTGCTGAGATCAGCTCTTGGAGGCGTTGCTGGAAGTTTCCTTCTGCTGCACTGAGCACGATGACCTTTGACACGATTCACACGATAACTCACGTATCATGTTCAGGGCAACAAGAAGCGTAATGCATTCAAAGAAATAAAACCTGCCAATCATATTAGAGGTGTTACATTTTAAATAGGAAGCACTGATTTCATGCTTCCTGTTGTCTAGCCTTGTTCAGACTCTCAGTCCGAATCCGATTTTTATGCATATCCTATTGAAACCCGATCTAAATTAGCTTTTTCTACATTGGTTTCTATGGCAATGATGTTGCATTGGTATGCCTACGTTAAAAAAACAACAACAATAACAGCAATACAGTTTGCAATACTTGCAACATGTTGGAATGCACAGATATATTCTGTTGCCGTCTTCGCCGGTCTCAAAACTCAAAGAGGTGCGTAAACCAGCGGTATATAGCAGGGCTCGCAAAATTTCAAAATCCTTGGTAGCCCTTCGGGCAGGTACTCTTCAGATTTTGGTAGCCTGAAAATTTATTTAACTAGCCCAAATAAAAAAAGACCTTTTTTTAAAAAAAAATATAGAAAATCAGATAGGAGTTTAAATGTCAATCAAAAATATTTTCAATACACAAATATCAACAAATATGAAGGAAGGAATTTTATTTCACTATTTACAGGGTATCTGCAGAATTTTTTAAAAATAAATTTAAGGCAATTTATGACCCATTTTAAGAGCTGCACAAGTAAAATGAACACAGTATGAGTGGGGTTGAACAATGTCTATGGTAACATACAGTATTGAGCCATAAAATTACATGATTTACAATTCAGATACAGGTTTTCACAAAAACAAAAATCTTTTACAATAGCATTTCAGCCTTTAGACCTTTTTTATGAAAAGGGATACATCAAGCATATAAATTATAAATTATATTTCTTATACCATTTAACGTATTTAAAACTTTTTATGGCCTTAAGTTTGATACAACTCGCTTTAGGAGTTTAAGTACCCGCGGAAGATCTGCATTTAAGATAGCCTGTCGGGCAGAGTGATGATACATTTTGGTAGCCCGACTGGAAAACACAATAGCCCCGGGACGTCGGGCTAGCGACGGGCCACTTGACTTGCACATCGCAACAATACAGCCTTGTTTCTGCCAAGACATTCAGCATGTGTTCTACAAACAATGTCTGACGTGTTTACGTTTTACCTGGCGTGAGAAAGTGACATGGGCTAAAAAGCTACGCTAAATCCAATCTGAGCGGTCAGACTGAAACGGATTTCAAGAAATGCGATTTGAATAGGATTTCAAACCATGTAAGGATGTAGCTTGAAACGGATTTGAAAAAAATAGGATTTCATGTGAAATTTTTATTTTTTTATTTTTTGGCCATTCACACTGGCAAAATATGATGGGATTCCAATCGGATATGCACAAAAATCGGATTCCAGCTGACGGTCTGAACAAGGCTATATTGACGCCAACTATATTTGTAGGCTGATTCTTCTGAGAGTAAAACATTGTATCCCTACAGCGCCATCCGAATATTGATCTGTTAGTTTGAGCAAATGATTCAAAAACTACAGAAATGAAACTCTTTCATTGTAGCAATCATTTAATTTATTAACCGTTAACGTCAATATGTGGGAGTTTCTCATTTGTAGGTTGCTTCGGATAAAAGCATCAACTAATAAATAAATGGAAATGGAAATACCATGTGCACATCTAGTTGTTTTATCTACATTTTAAATTAATTATTTTTAGTATAAGCTTTGAACTGACCGTTAATTTGTTAGTGTTTAATAATAATGCTTCTAAAAAGGAGTAGAATTAATAACCGAATCGAACAGATCATAAAATGTCTTGCGTAGGAACTGAGCAGAAGGGTGTTGTTAGCTTGTGCTTCAGTCTTGGTCTGTGTAAAATAAGCTCGGTCTGTGTCAGTGCTTCAGAGGCGATTCACTATACACCCTCTCATACTTCCAAGTCATATGCTTGTTGGGCCGCGGCCAGAGCAACCTGACCCTAGTGCCACAGAAACCTTATCTACCTCACACACTGTCAGGACGGACCAGAATAGTCAATAATGTGCAAGTGAACAGACAAATAAATATTTCAGATTTCCCACTTCCAGCGGGCTAATTATACACCTTGGCGTTTATCCTCGCGGTTGTGAAGCAGTGGCTGAGCCAGAGGGGTATCCAGGGTGGCACTGGACACCCCTGACATCTGATTGGCCACCCCAAAATTTAATATGCTACTATTTTATATTCTTTGTTTAATCGTACTGAAGGAAGCATTTATTTTAGCCTCAAACTCAAGGATGCAACGCATCTGGTGTGCCGCATCGCGCTTCATCTCGTCTGGTGGAGCTTCCAGCCTCTGCTAACTCTCACGCCACATGTTCATTTTCTTACGGAGTGCAAAACATCGCAGAGCAAGGAGGACACAGACAACCCGCTGACAGACAAGACAGAGCAGGTTACTTTTGATAATAGGAAGCAAACTCTCAGCATTCAAATTCTGTTAGTTTAATTAAGAATTTCAAACGATAAATAGAGTTTTGGAGCTCTTTAGTGGTGTGACGGTTCACGTGTGCTCCCGCTTTGCCTCAGTTCAAGCGAAGCAGGAGTGCATTCTAATTAACATGAAATAAACATGAATGAACATCTGAGGGCGTGTTGAAAGATACACTACAACTTACTGAATGTACAGTGTCATGTAATCACTCAATGAGTGTTTTAACCGCGGAAAGACAGCAGCTTGAACACTTTCACATAACCTCAGAAATTCAGTGTCCATAAACTTGCGAGGAAAATGTGCACTAAAGAGGAGAATTTTGCAAAAATTACATTTATTATATTTTTACTCTTTTATTTTTATTTATTTTTTTTATTATTATTATAATTAACAAAAATGTATAGACATAATGCTATTATAAAAATGGTCTAATATGAACTTGTATACAAATCAGTTGTTACTTTTAACCTTTTACTTTTAACCTTAACAATAGGGCTCCCTGTATAGATTAGTTTAGAAAAATTGAGAAAAAAATAACATGTACTTAATCGCAAGCTTATTAATTATTCCTAAATAATTCTCACCCCAGGCTGAACTCAAAAGTTGGCAGCCCTGTTTGAAGTAAGTTAAAGTTTTAGGTTTCCTGAACAACATTTACAAAATTCACTGTATTAATGTTAGAAGTTAATGTTAATGTTCGATCTTTTGCTCCAACCCGCTGGTTAATCAGATAATAGAAATAAGAGAAATAAGGTCCAATAGACTAACATTTGAAGTTATGGTAGGAAAGATAATGTGGGGTAATGTGAAGTAATCAGCAATCGTAGGATTTATTCATGCTTTTTAATGGTCTATGGACCCCCTGAATTAGCCTTGGCCGCCCCATGTATAAAACTCTAGCTCCGCCACTGTTGTGGAGTCCGAGATCTGAAAAGATGAAGCTGTACATCAGTGTGTGGTGTTCTTATTGTGAAAATCGGTCGATCAGCAATCAGCTGTTCACATTTTAGTTAGGACAGGGGGATCATATTTAATCTAGGTGTAAAATACAGTAAGAATAGGCATTACTTAATCTAAATTTAATATAGTGCTCTTTTACATTCGTTTAATGTAGATGCACCAGTATAACAATACATAACTTTTTGAATAGTGACACAAACGAATCCTTAACTATTTTTTAAACTTGTATAATTCTGTTAAATCTTGTAGCGTACCAGTGACATTTATTAACATTTTAATATTTTTAATATAGAGTGAGGCTTTATAACACTTAAAGTTATATTGTGAATTCCTCTAATACCGTATTGCTTAAATAATCACGCAGGCCTGATCATGCTTTGTCAGTCCTCAGGTTTAGGTTCATGAAAGAAGACCTCAGAGCTTCATAACTCTTACCTAATCCAGTGCTAAAACAGTTCTGCCTGTCTGTTAGCTGCTGTTGCATGAGGCTTTTTATAGGTCACTACGCACTAACTTCAGTACTGGGAAGTGTAGTACGGCTTGGGAAGGGAGTACATTGTCGTTTTCTTCCAAGTGTCAGGTTGTTTGCAACACACTTGGGAGTTTGTGCTAACATCTGCATCTTTCCCAGTGCCTAATCGGCACGAGTATGGCTTGTAACGGTAAACAACATGTGGGAGATCTTCTTACTGTGCTCCGTTAGTGTTAAAGCTGCTCCTCTGATGACTTCCTTAGCATCCGGAGATTCGCTTTGCATGTAATAAAGTGGAGAAATGCACTCGTTTTGCAGGAACAGTCCTACTCGTGACTCTGCAGTCTTTCCTGATCATTTCAAGTGACATCTGGGTGTTTAGCTCTGGACCGTGGCCCATATTCCCGGGCTGCGTGACATTTGCAGAAGTTAAATATGCTGCAAAGGTCTTTCCCAGCTGGGGCAGCCCTGTGCAACTGAAGCGCTCTTTGTTTCAGCTTTTGACAAAAGCTCTTCTGTCTTTATGTGTGCGGACGCCCTATAGGACGACCATCTGCAACCTGTATACCATGCCACGTGTGTCTGAGCCTGTCTGGCTCACCATGATGTCCGGTCCACCTGAAAAGAACCAGCTTTGTGGCCAGTTCATGAGGGAGCTGGCCCTGCTCATGGAGCAAGCCTCCAAGAACCAGTTGAGTAACGTCGCACATGCTCCTCAAGCCATTGAACGCACTTGATAAGTGTGAATGTAACCATGTTTTTGCTTGCTTTGTCTCTTGCCTTTAGATTCCTCCCAGCGCTTCTCACTGCGGTTCTCACAAACCATCTCGCCTGGGTTCCCACGGTCATGCCCAACGGTCAACCACCCTTAAAGATCTTCCTGGAGAAGCACTCCTCACCGAGTGTGGACATGCTGGCGAAAACGCATCCCTACAACCCACTCTGGGCACAGCTTGGTAAATGACGCATGCAAGAGTGCAAAAATGTGTGCATGTCGCCACCTAGTGTTGATGGAAATGTCTTGGCACAGTGAGCTTTAGAGCAGGGTTTCCCAACGCTGTTTCTGGAGGCACCCCAACACTACGCATTTTGGATATTTCCTTATCTGACCCATCCATTTCAGGACATGGAGTCTCTACTAATGAGCGGATAAGACGGGTGTGATTGATTAGGAAGTGTGTAGTGTTGGTGTGCTTCCAGGAACAGGGTTGGGAAACATTGCATTTGAACAAGAGCTGCTGTCCTGAAGAGTTTAGCTTTAACCTGAATCAAACACACTTGAACCAGCTAATCAATGTCCTCAGGATCGCTTGAAAATCACAGGCAGGTGTGTTGAAGCGGATTGGAAATAAACTTGGCAGGACAGTTTAGTTCAGTAGTCAGGGCTCCGTCTTAATCTGGAAACAGATTAGTGGATTCCTGGAACATCTGCTAACTAAAAATCCCACAATGCACCACAAAAACCAGGGAGCATTGATGCTCACTACACTTTAAAAAAAAAATAAAGGTTCTTTATTGGCATCTATATGGTTCCATGAAGAACCTTTAAAGCAATAGTTCACCCAAAAATGAAAATCGTGTCATCATTTACTCAACCTCATGTCATTCAAAACATGTATGCCGTTCTTTCTTCTGTGGAACCTAAAAGAAGATATTTTGAGAAATGTTGATGACCATTGACTTTCACCGTATGGACATAAAAAAAACATGAAGACATTTCTCAAGCAGAAAAGGTTAAGAATAATAAAATGTTCTTTACATTAATAAAAATGGTTATTTTAAGAACTGTTCATTGAAAGATTCTTTGGGGAACAAAAAATGTTTCAACTGTTGCATTGCTGCAAATAGGGCAACATTTTTATCAACTAATTCAAATGTCATGTTTGCAACTGTTTTATTTTTTTTAACCCATGCAATAGTGGTTTTAATTAAAAATATCAACAAAGTTACAATTAGACACGTTGACAATACGCCAGTGTTAACAGTTAAGAGAAGATTCAGTGAAATGGAAAAAAGCACCACGTTTTTAGAAAAGGTCAAGCGCACGTTTACATAGAAAAAAACAATGAAAAAAGCAGAGCAGTGGAATGAAAAAGCTGTAAGGAACTACTACTGTATGTTTGATATTTCATGTTTGCATGATGGTGACAAGCTGAAGTCTGCTGGTATTTTCTTTGATTTTACAAAACATTTAAACATTAATAGCCTACTGCTGGTCTTATACTTTGTCATTTTGAATTTGAATCGCCTTGACTTTTTGAGTTGACCTCTAAAACTGAATATCTAGATTGTGACAACATGAACATGAAGCGCATAAAACATTGCATTACACTGGGGTTTCTCAAACTATAAGAACTGCAGTTCGAAAAATTAGAGAGAATCGGTAAATTCTGAATAGTTTACTGCCATTTTATGAATATGTAATCCATAAAAAAAGTAACTGTAATCTGAGCATTTTAAAATGTAATGTAATTACAGTATTCGGTTTTTGGAATCTGATTACGTAATCCATATTACATGTAATTAGGGGAGTGCATAATTTTACTGCTTTATTTTTTCCATTTGCTCTGCTTGAATGCTTTTGTTCTTTATAAATATACAGTTGTGCTCATAAGTTTACATACTCTTTGAAGAATATGCAAAATGTTAATAATTTTAACAAAATAAGAGGGATCATGAAAATGGCATGTTATTTTTTATTTAGTACTGTCCTGAATAAGCTATTTCACATAATGGATGTTTATATATACTCCACAAGATAAAATAATAACTGAATTTATAAAAATGACCCCGTTCAAAAGTTTACATACCCTTAAATCTTAATACTGTGTGTCATTTCCTGGATGATCCACGACTGTTTTTATGTTTTGTTATAGTTGTTCATGAGTCCCTTGTTTGTCCTGAACAGTTCAATCGCCTGCTGTTCTTCAGAAAAATCCTCCAGCTCCTGCACATTCTTTGGTTTTCCAGCATCTTCTGCATATTTGACCGCTTTCCAACAGTGACCGTATGATTTTGAGATCCATCTTTTCAAACTGAGGACAATTAAGGGACTCGTACATAACAATTACGAAAGGTCAAAACATTTACTGATGCTCAAGAAGGCAACACGATGCATTAAGAGCCGGAGGGTGTAAACTTTTTGAATTGGCTGGTCAGGGTAAATTTTCCTTATTTTGTCTTCGGGGAAACATGTATGAACTTATGTAGCTTCAGAAGTGCAGTACTAAATTACTACTCAGAGCTGCTTATTTGTTTCCTGGCAAATATGCGTGAATTGTTTTGGTTAATAATGTTAACCTGATTGCTGCAGGTGACCTGTACGGGGCAATCGGCTCACCTGTGCGTCTGTCCCGTACGGTGGTGGTTGGCCGACGACAGGAGCTGGTGCAGCGTCTTCTCTATGTGCTGACCTACTTCATCCGCTGCTCAGAGTTACTGGAAACGCACCTGCTGGAGAGTGCCGTGGACGAGGCCATCGTGATACCCGGCTCGCTCATCACAACGTCGCTGCGCCGCGGAGAGGTGGAAGAGTCCGACTACGAGTTTACATACCCTTAAATCTTAATACTGTGTGTCATTTCCTGGATGATCCACGACTGTTTTTATGTTTTGTTATAGTTGTTCATGAGTCCCTTGTTTGTCCTGAACAGTTCAATCGCCTGCTGTTCTTCAGAAAAATCCTCCAGCTCCTGCACATTCTTTGGTTTTCCAGCATCTTCTGCATATTTGACCGCTTTCCAACAGTGACCGTTTGATTTTGAGATCCATCTTTTCAAACTGAGGACAATTGAGGGACTCATACATAACAATTACGAAAGGTCAAAACATTTACTGATGCTCAAGAAGGCAACACGATGCATTAAGAGCCGGAGGGTGTAAACTTTTTGAATTGGCTGGTCAGGGTAAATTTTCCTTATTTTGTCTTCGGGGAAACATGTATGAACTTATGTAGCTTCAGAAGTGCAGTACTAAATTACTACTCAGAGCTGCTTATTTGTTTCCTGGCAAATATGCGTGAATTGTTTTGGTTAATAATGTTAACCTGATTGCTGCAGGTGACCTGTACGGGGCAATCGGCTCACCTGTGCGTCTGTCCCGTACGGTGGTGGTTGGCAGACGACAGGAGCTGGTGCAGCGTCTTCTCTATGTGCTGACCTACTTCATCCGCTGCTCAGAGTTACTGGAAACGCACCTGCTGGAGAGTGCCGTGGACGAGGCCATCGTGATACCCGGCTCGCTCATCACAACGTCGCTGCGCCGTGGAGAGGTGGAAGAGTCTGACTACGTGCTGGTCCCCGTGCACAAGCCGAGCCAAGACTACCTGTCTCCGGGTGCCGAGGCAGAGGACGGCTACCCCTCTGATGACAACAGCTTACAGAGCAGCACGTACATGGACACAGAGGCCCCAGACGAGCACAAGCATCCGCATCCCGCCATACCAGAGGCAGACCTCGTCAGAGACGTGCCCGTTTGCAGAGAGGCGGGGAGTCCACAGCTCGAGACTCGACTGGAAACCGTGGTCAAAGTCGGCTCCAGCTCGCCGTGCGAGAGAAGAGCCTCGCTCGAGGTTCAAGGGGATGTGCGGCCCGAGGTGGAATCTGGTGGCGTGCCCATCAGGATCTTCCATCCATCAGATATCCTGCTAGAGAAGAAGCCCCCTGACAAGAGCTTTGATAACGCCGGGAACGAACCCTCCGCTAAAGTCACATTCCTCATCGGAGACTCGATGTCTCCTGAATCTGACATGGAGAGTCGACAGCAAAAACTGGAGGAGGAGATCAAGAAACACAAGAAGCTTCTCAAAGACAACCAGCAGAAGCAGTGTAACGGTGAGGCTAAACTTCAAGTGGACCAAATCAAGACCAACGACAGCAAAACAGGCTCGTTTGTATCGTCCTTGACTAGAAAGACGTCTCAGTGGTGTCCAAGAGCGCAAGGGGACTGCGTGGACATGTTTGACGAGTATTTCAGTGATGACAATCCAGTGGAGACGAGGACTATTGGTGATGTCTACCAAACAAATGCACAAACGGGGATGAAAGGCATAGGAAAAGATGCCCCAAACCTGCAAGGCTGCCAAGTTAGGGCGCACAGACAGACCTGCGAGCGGCTGGACAAAGACGGGTGTAAGTGCGACGCAGGAGACATCAGCGCGGGCTGCTGTAAAACCTGCTGCTCTGCCGAGCAGGACAAGGGGATCGAGATGTCGCTGAGTGTCCCTTCACAAGGCACCGTTGGGGAGAAAAAGAAATCAGTCCCGCTGAACGACTGGGAGATCCCACGCAACGAGAGCTCGGACAGCGCGCTGGGGGACAGCGAGAGCGAGGACGCTGGACAGGAGCTGCCCAGGCAAGAGCCCGATGGGCCGTTTTACGGGGACGAGCAGGCCGACTGGCAGGATGAGCTCGAGGTGCCTTTACCTGGGTAAGAGCGGAGAGGATTATCAGAACCATCGGTTTTGTTTGGCTTGTGTCTGTATTAGGGATGGGCGGTATATCGAGTTTGTATGATATATATGATATATTTTTTTGTAAACGATATGGAATACTGATTATATCGATATACAGTAATTTGATACAAGCGTATCTGAAAAATAGCATAGGACACAGAGTGAGCTGCTGTGGGGAAAGTGCATAATCCAGTGTGTCCTAAACACGAGACATGCTTTATATTAAGAGTTTTAAATAACTGGTAAGATATAGTTAACACGTGTAGTTTAAAGCGGTTCTGACAGACTCATGTGCTGCTGACAGACAGGCTACTCGCACTGTTTAATGTGTTTGAGATGTGCTGTTTTCCTCAGTGCATAACTTACATTTCACAGGTATATCCTCCATCTGTAAATGTTAGAAAGTCATGGAAATATTTCCATTTTGCTGTCAGGAGTGGATGAGCTTTCTGCATGCGAGTCTCTGTTAAACTTCACAGACTTCAGTGAACGAGCGCGATAGAATAGGGGAGCGATAATTCTGACTAAAATATACATTTGCTAAAATATTTGTTGTTGGAAAATTAATGTGCCATATGTAGAATTTTAAACCTACAAGTAAGTGTATTTTAAGATATTAGTATCTGTAAAGTGACAGTTGTAAAGGGTTAATCAAAATATAATGCAATTAGTCTGTGCTTTAGTTTTTATTTATTTTCATTTTTAGTTTACTGAATTTACCTTCTGCTTTAAAATGATTTTCATGATTTTTGTTTTTATATTGTAATGTTAGTATGTTTGTTTTCATAGCCTTTAATATAAACATTTTCATTTGACAACATTGGGCAGGATGTAAAAAAAATTTTAAAAAAATTTAATCCAAATAAAAAAAACGTAGAAATTACCGAGATATATACCGTATTTCGCAATTCAGCCAAAAAATACAAAAATATGATTTTTTGGCCACATTACCCAGCCCTAGTCTGTATATTAAAAATGTTGATAATGAACAAGGTTATCTATTTGCTAGGGCGAAGCTGGTGGAGAACTACTCTAAACCGAGCATTGCCAACTTTGGGAGGTCGCTGTTCGGAGGATACTGTCCTACGTACGTCCCAGACTTTGTTCTGCATGGAGCCCCCAATGATGAGAAACTGAGGCAGAACCTGGTGTCGGATCTGGCCCATGCTGTGCAGGTAAACACCACCTCCAATAGGTCATCAATGAGCACCTGCCTGACACTTGGTGAAGAATCCAATCACTGTTGCTGATAGGTATGGTTACATAAGATTAGGGCTGCAACAACTGATCGATAAGCATCTATGAAGACAATTATTGGCAAGAAATTTGATTATCAACTAATCACATCTGTGCCAGGGTTATTTTAGTTTACAAAAACTGAAACTAAAATTAAAACCATTTAAAAAAATTACTTAAATTTAAATTAAAATAAAATGTACAAAATGTTTTATTTCAGCTAGTGGCCAATACATCATTTCTCATTTTTTAGTTTATCTTGGTGTACTAAGTAACTAAAACTAAAATTGAAATAAAATAGAACAAAATTACTAAAAGTTTAATTAAAATTAAAATGAAACTTTAAAGTATAAAAGTTTTTATTAACATTTTGAATCAGTTTTTACTAAGTATCTGAATGAAACTAAAATAACACTGATCTGCGTGATCTTTAGTTATGATTTTCGATTTTGTTTTAATTTAACTTGTACTTTATGCATGGTATGCGATTAGTTGGTTTGTGGTTTACAATGTAATGTTTATATTTTAACCCTATTTGGCAAAATTTACTGCATAGCCGACATAGATAAGTTTACTGTATTTGTTTTCACAATTGCACATTATTTGGGGGACAGCATTGGGCAGGATGGGGAACAACAATTTGTAAATAATAGATTAACATTCGTTTGTTTTTTAGTAAATCTTTTTTCCATTCAAATAAATAGGTTAATTTAATAAATAATCAATAGACCAATTTCGAGTAGACGTCACAGTTACGTCACTTGCAGCTGCGCGCGCATAGTGGTTGCAGAAAAACACTGGGAACAAGTGGAGATAAATGGGTAAAATCCATGGAATAAAAGAAAAAATATATTTTTGTGCCTTTTGATGTCAAGATCGGAATGCAAATAATTTTTATAGAATACGGTCGTCATTTGAAGCTAAACGCAGCGTTTAAATGGACATACTATGGATGAAAACTGCTATGATTACTCTACTTTTAAAGCATAAATTCGATTTAAACAATAGGTCTACATAATATTCACATATGCTGTTCATAGGGGACGTATTGTATTAGCCCTACAGTTACAGCATGAAATATTATTTAAACCTTACTATTAACATTTTTACATAACATTTATTTACTTTATCTCACAATTATGACTTTTTTTTTCTCGCAAATGCAAGTTTATATCTCCTAATTCGGACTTTATAACTTGACTTAACTCAATAATAGTGAGTTTGTCAAATCTGAGGGGAAAAAGCCAGAAGAGCCAAGGGGAAAAGAGAGAAGGACGAGTTGTTTTTCCTTATTAGAATTGTGAGATATAATCTCGGAATTGCGACAATAAAGTCAGAATTTTGAAATATAAATCTCTAGCCGTAAAGGCTATCTCTCCCGGGTTTTCTGCAACCATGATGCGCGCGCATCCTGAATGTTTACAAACCGGTAATTGGTCTATAGATTAATCAGTTATCAATATAATTGTTAGTTACAGCCTTGCATACGATCTCCAAACACTACTGTTAAAGGAGCCGAGCCATATTTAGAGGCTAGAATGTCATCGGACTCTCTCATGTGAAAAAGAGTCCAATACATCCCTTCCACGGCACCTGAGCATCACTGAGAGTCCTAAATGAGCAAATGTGAAAAGCTTGATTGTAATCTGAAACGAGCTGTATTGTTGTTATGCAGCATCCTGTGCTGGATGAGCCCATCGCGGAGGCCGTCTGCATTATCGCAGACACCGATAAGTGGAGCGTGCAGGTGGCCAGCAGCCAGAGACGACCCTCCGACAAGCTGGGCAAAGAGGTGCTCGTGTCCAACCTCGTGTCCAACCTGCTCCAGTCCACCTACCAGCTCTACCGACTCAACCTGTCTCCAAACTTCGTGAGTGCAACTTTCTCACGTTTCTTCTGCTTTATTTGATTACTCGTCAGCACGTCTGTTGGGAAGCATTGACTAGTGGTCGACCAATATGGGTTTTTTGACAGCCGATGCCGATATCTTGGAAAGCAGGGTGGCCGATATAATTTTATTTATTTTAATTTATATTTAAGAAATTTGAAAATAATTGTGTGAAATAAACATACTTATACTTTAGAAGACAAAGCATTTTCACAAATAAATAAATATTTAATAAAAAATCTAATTAAAAAGGGAGTAAACACTGTAACCAACAGGGCACTCGGTACTCTGGGAAGTTTGTGTGCATTGGGAATCTTTTTTTTTTGTTTTTTTTTTTTCAAATAAAGCAAAGGTAACATTCATTTTACATACAGCAAGCAATGAAAATGACACAACAAGAGGGAGAATGTGAGCGGTGTGCGCTCAGGCGCTGCCGTTCTCGCGCCGTCAAAATAAAAGTCCCGCTTCGAACACATCGGCCAAACAGAAAAACTTATCGGCCGATGCCGATATTTGAAAAATGCCAAATATCGGCCGATATATCGGTCGACCACTAGCATTGACACATTTTACAATGACAGTGAAACTGATAATCATGAGCCAATTATGTGTATGTGATTCATGATTCTAATGATCTTAACTGTGATGAACATAAGAGAACGGCTCCTCGTCAGTCTGTAGTGCTCTCGCTATTGATTATTTTTGTAAGTAATCGATTATTTTGACGATTAATCAAGTAATTAGATTAGGGATGCACGATATTATCGGAATGTTATCGGAATCGGCCGATAAAGGCTTAAAATGTAAACTTCAGCATCAGCTTGATATGGAAAATTATACCGATATGCTTTGCCGATAAGGCGAATAATTAGGGTGTGCTAGCGATAAGATCACGTCAGCAGTGTGCTCATTCTTGAAGCGAACTTTTGCCTGAATGCGGATTAGATTCACTGTTTGGATTGACGCATTTCATTTGAGAATGATCGTACAGAATGAGCACAATAGAGTCAACAGCCTCCCCTGCGTCCTAACGCCCGTCCGGTGAGGTCTTTTATTTATTTAGGGGTTGCTGTAGACCCACATGTAATAAAATGAAAATAAAATAGACAAATAACATTAAGATAGTTGTGTTTCTGAATAAAAAAAGCTGTAATTGATGTCATAAAATCAAGTTTAGATGGATGAGGATTGTAATCTAGGTAAAGATGATTACAGTGACATACAGGAGTCGTACATTAGGCACGAGTGTGGCCGATATTATTGATGCGCAAACAGTCGTGCATGTGCGCTCTCATCACATCATATTTCTACATGAACACAGTTCTGTATATTCATGTAGTTGTCAAAATTAATGTACAGCGAGTGTTTTATAACAGATGCTCGCCGAAGAAGTGTGTTTTGGAGAAGTTTGTGAGGATCAGTGGTGTTTATGTACATATGGGCATCAGACGCTCCAAACACAGACACGATTGCATCTTCTGACAGGAACTGTTCACTGATGACGTCGAGCCGCCTTCAGATCGCTGAGTTTCCACACATTCACAATCTTTTTAGTTTTCATTTGTATTTTGGTGTGTTTAGTGATTCTGAATGGATCCGTGTAGTAGTTTATATGCAGTTCTTTGGCGTCTCCCTGTGGTCTTGATTGGTATGGCAGGTTGACTTGTGCTTATTTGTTAAAGTTACTGTATAATTAAGCTTTGCATACTTTTAAGTTCTTTTAAGTTGTAAAGAATATCAGCAGTGACATTTTTGCAAAGTACGCTTGCAAAAAAGAACACTGAATGTTTAAATCTTGAATTATTTTTTGTTTAAAAATAATTACATGAAATTGAAAAGTAATAAAATTAGAATACAAAGGTTTTTGGTTACCACTCCCCCCCCCCAAAAATTGCTATGATTGATTTTGTTTTTAATAGATATTTTCAAAGCTTTCAATGTACTCTTATTATAAAGAGAGTTTTTAAAAATTGTTTTAGTTCTAACAAGTAAGTTTTTGCTAAAAACTAACCAAGATTAAAAATAATTTGTTTATAATCGCTGCACAGGAGAGACTTAGTGTTGTTCCCAAACAAAAGGAAAAATATCGGCATCGGCTATCAGCTAATATGAGTTGAAAAATAACGGCATATTGGATATAGACTAAAATCTAATATCGTGCATCCCTAAATTAGATATTATCCGTAACTGATAATTGGATCTATAAAGTATCAAAAGTAAGTAATCCTTTGGTTTTGTTGAACAATACTGTTAAAATGCATAACTTCGTCCATGTATCTTTGATACACATGCTACAGCAACTCATTTTACACACATGGACATCAAAACATGCAGGGCTTTGGACTTTTATTTTGAGACGGGCAGGTTGTAGCTAAACTCTGCAGGAGCAGGATAACATGCTAAATTAAACATTTGAGGTAAAGTTTTCATTTTTGGTTTTCAGTCACCCAATAAAGATGAAACCATGGCACGATTTCCCAAGAAATGAGCTCTGAGAATTAAATTTTTTATTATTTTTTTGGGCAGCGTCACTTTAGCCGTAACAGAAGTGTTTACCTGTCCTGTGGAAATTATTAAGAGATGTATTTCTATTTGAATAGTCCTTTAGACACGACATGCGGTGTGATGCGTTTTAAGGAATAATTTGGTCAAGAGAAATGCGATGGTCACCAATCACTACGTTGGGATTTGTGCTGGACCCTTTTTTAACACTGATCCAGGGACATTCAACAATCATCTTTTGTTTTCAGGATTGAAATGCTGAATCTTTTTCATGTCTCTTCTTAGCTTGCAGACAGATTGTTTACCGATGGAATAACTGAGGGAAATGGATGAAAAATGAACATGCAGTGATTTAAAGCAAGCATTCAATCAGTTAATGACTTGCATAGATGTTTATGATTGGTTGACTTGCTTTGTCTTTGGGTCAAACCATACATCAAATAGTTCCATCTAAGAAAAAAAAAAAAAAAAAAAAAAAAAAAACAGGCTTTGCGAGGTGTTACAGGTTATTTTAGCTGTTTAAAACATGTATGAGTTGCTTCAGTGGGAAACATTTTGTATTTTAAAAAAAAAATCTATGTCCAATTGTCTTCTCCAGAATGTGTATTTATATCTAATTATTTCTTTATACAAAAAAGCATTTAATTTATTTTCTTGGCATGCATTGCTAAATGTTAGCTGTATATACTGCATAGAGTTTCTTCGTGTATTTGTACAGAATGCCTCTCTTTTTGACCTTATCTTTGTTTCCCAGTTTTTATGGGAATATTGTGCAATAAATATGCCAGCATTACAATTATATGTTGTTGGTTGTTACTTTGTGCAGCAGCTATTATTATTTATCTATCTGTCCATCTCTGTGGGTTCATCCATGAAGGGGTCTCAAAGTGTGAGATTACATTGAAAATATCAGATTAATAGTCCTATTTCAAGACATTTATACCCAAGGTCAACATGTGAGACCAGTGCGTAAAATGGAAAAACACAATCTAGATTACATCAAATTAGATAAGTAAATTGGGAACACTGGCCATGTGAACTCTTGGTAAAGGTCACATTTCCTTTCCTTTCTCAACTTCTAATCATCCTGTTATCTTTTATTTACTAATAAATATAGTAAGAAACACTAGACAATCATACATATACACAATAACTACTGCTTTATATTAGTAAATATATAGTATATGATGCACAACCCTTGGGCTGTGCTGATTCCAGAACACCTCTGAGGAGTCAGTTCAGACAACCTATTATCGGTAACCCACAGTTAACTCACATAAATGATGCACTACACACTATGTGCTCTAACGTCTAGAGTATGGATTTCATCATGTCATTTTGTAGTCTTTACGAAAGCTGCAAAGAAAGCTGTGACTGAGTGCATGAAGTGTACAACATTCTTCCACACTTCTCTTTGTGGTTAAATAAGTGGCTAAAGTGAAATAAACATTGCGTTATAGAAGCTTTAAAATTATAAATGATCTGACTGTATTATATAACATTGTGTGTAATATGTGGCTACTTGCATAACCTGAACGTTAGCTCAGTTTTTGGAACTGAAAGTTGAGGTTATCTTATCCGTGAACTTACCAGAGTAAGTTTCTAAAACCTGCTTTATGAAATCCCCCCCCTGGTTTCACATCGCTCCGCTATCAGTGTAGTTTAGTATGCACTGGTTTCTTAGTGATCATTGTAGTTCAGTATGCACTGGTTTTGTGTCACCATAGTTTAGTACGCACCAAGCGGCAACCTTCCGGTCTCTCTCGTGAAGCCAATTCATCGACTGGCCGCTAGAGGCTGGCTCCAAAAGGGAGTCAGTCCCATAGACTCCCCATGTTAAAATGCCCAACTTTACAGCAGAAAAAAGTATGTTTACAGTCTGGTACAAAAAACTGATTTTGGTCTATATAGCTAATTTTGCCCTTCATGACAACTGTGAGGGGGGTGAATTTTTTTATAACTCATCCGTTTAAATTATATTAAGCCTTAAAGTTCTGCATAATTAAGGGCGTGGCCACTTGAGTGACAGGTGGATTGCCGCTGCACCGGCGTCGAGCTAGGTGGGTGTGGTTTCAGCAACCAGCTCCCACCTCTTTGACCATTTTCGATTATCCGGGAGTGACGCGCGGTGACACGCTGCCAAGATGGCGACGGCC